TTGTGGCATAAAAAAATCAAACATACTGAAATGCTAAGGTAAAGCGTAAAGGAAAAAGAGAATATATGAGGATATTATATGCTTGTGGACTTTTACCATGGGAGGTGACGATATATGCTTGGATGAAGTGCCGGAAGATCGTCGTCATGTTGAGCCAATGCACCGGGATCAGCCATTTTTGTGGCGCTCTAATATGCCTCTCTTGTCTCCCCACATGTACCTGACCATGACCGGCGGATTCATCTCCCAAGGACCGTCGTCGTCGGATATGATGTTGGACGACAGGAGCGCCATGAATCAGTTAATACTGGAGCAGCACCATCTTCCTAACACTTCATCGACGCACCAAGCTCATCATCCCATGGTAGAAGTGGGGAAGCATAATCATCTCCACTTACGTAAACCTTCTTCATCCGCTTATATGCCTTCTTGGCGTGCGAAGAACATTGGTAGCTTGCACGGAAAAACCATAGCAGTGGATTCATTTGAATATGTTGTTAGGGATATTAATTGTTTAGCACATATATTAGCAAATCATAGCAAATATGCATAGATTTAATGTGTTTAGGGAGACGAAGCTTCTGTTTTGTTTTTATATTATTTTTGACAGTTTTAGGAAGGTTAATTAAGTTTTTCTAATTAGAAGAAATAGAAAAGAGCGAGGGAAGATCCAAAACAAAGTTATTAGTTTGGTAGACGGCGTGAACATAACGAACAACGAGTGTTATCTCTCTATCTATTTAGGATATTTTATCAAAAAAAAATCCTTCGCTTTATTTTAATCGAATGACACCCATATATTTATTTCCACTTAGGACACTTCTTTTTTTACTTGAATGAAAAAGGACCTCACACTTTTACTTAAATGACTTGATTACATATGCTATTTAGAGAATTTTAATTTTGATAAATATTTATCATAATTTTTTTTAAAATAAAAAAGATATTAATAATCTTCCAATCATGTCCTAGTGATTCCATCAAACTTTAAGTTGGTTTAATTGAAGTCGACTAAGTTACAGTAATTGAATTAGGTTATACTTGACCATACAACCTATTCAAAAAACTATAATTTTGATAATTAATTATCATAAAATATTTTTAAAAATAGTGATTATGTGAAACTTTGAGTTGGTTTAGTAGAAGTTGACATACTTATACTCAAAATTGAATTAAGTTATGTTCGACTATAAAAAATATTCAAAAAAATCTCTAACCTTAATAATTAATTATAATAAAATTTTATAAAAATAAAAAAAATAGTACTAATCATATTAGAATCATACCTAAGTAGTTTAGGAAAAGTTTGAATTAGTTTAATAAAAATTAACCAAGTTACACTCCGAATTGAAATAAGTTACACTTGATCATAAACATATAAAAAAAAATTAATTAAAGAAATAATATTAATCATCTTAGAACTATTATTAGTAGTTTTGTGGAAGCAATGGTTGGTTTGGTTAAGTTAATAAAGTTAAATTTGATTACAATATCGGTTCAAAATTTTTGAACTTGGTAATTCATTATCATAAATTATAAAAAATATAATATTAATAATTTAAAACCACATACTAATTATTATGCAACAGTTTTGCAAGATATCATATTTATAAAAAAAATATTTTTTAATTCATAATTTACATAATTTGAATTATTATTTTTAAAATACTAATTTTTTTAACTAAAAAAATGAATCATGTCTTCTTAGTAGAATCACAAAAAAAATTCTTTCACCCGAGCTTCAAATCTATTACAAAATAGTAGGTTATTCTGAAAATAAATATATGATAATAATATATTTCAATACTCATCAAATATATAAATATTAATAATTTAATATAAAATGATAATATATCAATTTATTATGAAACTCATGTATTAGAAAAATAATGATAATTCTTATGTAATAAATAAAATTATACATTAATCACATGTAACATATCACGATGATATACATAGATAATAAAAGCTTATATTACACCTGATGATGATACACTCTCATAATAACAAATGAAGAAATATACTCTAAGAATGAATTCCTCCTAATGAACGAAGAGAACTCATATTGCATTTCTAATAATAGATAGAGTGATATCTCTCATTAATCGTTATGTTTGATTGTTTGTTAATCCCTAAACAAAATTATATTATCTACCATCAATATGATACATTATCAATTATGATTATTTATGTATATTCTCATTCATTCATCCAAATAGTAATACTTTCGCATCACACTATGGTGAGTCCTAGCTCCTTCCACAAGTTATATTTTTAATATGGGTCATTTAGTATAGTCACATATTCTACATGATAACAATCATATTAATATCATTTAATTTAATTTAAAAATAACAAAATTATTAATTATTTTCAAATGACATATTTAGAGAAAATTTTTAAGTTCATCAAATTATAAAATCACGAGGCATCAATTTCTCAATAATCCTCAATTAGCAAAAATCTTGATTGAAATAACTCAATTAACTTTAACCAAACTTAATTCAATTAGGATATAATGGAACCAATCTTATCAAGCTAGTTTTATTTATTATCAAGCTAGGATATAATGGAACCAATCTTATTAGTTTTATTTATCAATCTTATCAATCTTATCATTTAATATAATTTAGATTTAATTGATTTCAATTAGGTTAAGTGGATTTAAACTTATCAAGCTAGTTTGGAATCACATCAAATCAGTTTGAACTAATTAAATATGTTTGATTTAGTCAACTAACAAACTCAAACAAATAATGATAAAGAAAATTAGATAGTCACATAGTGTTAACCCAAGTAGCAGGTTGGGTTGAGGTACAATGAGTTGAATAGAGGGATGACGATATGTCTAATGCTAATTTCATAGTTGCATGAGCCTAGGTTTTTGAGCCGAGTTGAGCCTCGCTCTTGAGTTAGACTGAGTATTACTATTGAATTGATTCACAATTAACTCGTGAGTTGGGTCGTGCTTAGCCACATAGGTTAGGCGACACATGACCACATGAGCTGGGTCATGTTTGGCCACATGATATAGATTGTGCTTGGCTATATAAGTTTACCATATACATGGGTTGATTTTTGCCTAATCATATAGACTAAACTATATTTGACCACATAAGTTATGCCTAATCACATGGGTAAGATTGTATTTGACTACATGAGCTATGTAATATCAAACAATATTGTTTGAACTATACCTTACAACATGGGCTAGGTTATACTTCATCATATAAGTTAGATTATATCTAATCACATGAGTTGAATTATACATAACTACATGATCTAGTCTAACCAATTAACTTAACTTATGTCAAATTCTAATTTGATCAATCTTATTAAATTAAATTAGATTTTAATATTTTTATAAGTATTTTAAATATTATAAAATAATAATTAACCTCAAATCTATTTGTTTATAAATTACCTAATTTGGATTCATAATTCTAAATTTAAAATAATTAAATAATAATAATTCATACATAATTCCTTAAAATATAAATATATCTAATTAAATAAATTAAAATTATTATTAAATTAACTAGTCATTCTAATATCATAATTTAATAAATGTTATTTAAAAAATTATAAAAATTAAAAATTAAAATATTATTATGCACCATACAAATTATAATAATTTTAATATAAAATTTTTAAAATATAAATAAAAACTAGTAATAGGAAAAAAAAAGGATCCTATCTTTTCTCACGATCATTTCCTTGGAAAATCTTCTGCTCGACCTGACAAGAAATGAGTAAGAGGGAGTCTCTTTATATAAAAAAAGAACAAATGATAAAGAATAATTCTATATAAAAGAAGATAAAATTATAATATTTACACATAAAAATAGAATTTGAACTATTTACTTTCTAAAAATAAAATCACTTATTATAAAAAATAATTAATAATTTAATTGATTAACAAAAATTTTAACTTATCCAGATGATTAAAAAAATGATTTTAATTATTTTTAATCATAAAATTAATAATTTATTTATGATAATTTGATTTATATCAAGGAAGAAAAAATCATCAATGATTATAAGTTTAGATTAGTTTAGTAGAAATTTATTTAGGTATACTAAAAAATAAACCAAATTATACCTTAGTTATACTCCATCATTCGACCAATCAAAAAATTCTCCCATTTTAAGTGGATTTGATTCATAAACTTTTTTGTCATTTAAAATACCCCATCTATTTCTCTCTCGCCAACGCATATGATTTATAAGCTCTCTGTCTCTCTCTTCGTCTCTATCAGAAAGCAAGAAAGCAAGAAAGTGTGACCACAGAAAGTGTGAGAAAGCAAGAAAGCAAGAAAGCAAGAAAGTGTGACCACAGAAAGCGTGAAAGTGTGACCACAGAAAGCAACGTGAGAAAGTGTGACCACAGAAAGTGTGACCACAGAAAGCAAGAAAGCAAGAAAGTGTGACCACAGAAAGCAAGTGTGGCCACAGAAAGTATGACCCCCTCTTTGTCTATCTCTTCGTCTCGATCCCCCTCATGTTGCTTCTTAGTTCATGAGAAAGTGTGACCACAGAAAGCAAGAAAATGAAGAACCACTTCTCTCTCTCTATGCTTCGGTAACACAGAAAAAGTCCGTTCTTGCGAGACTAAGCAGCGAGAGAAGGAATTAGAAGCACTATATATGTATATATTCTTTACGAAACAAACCCAAAGACGTGTGCTTCTTTTCTTTCACCTTCCCATCTCCGTCTCCACCTTATCATAGACCACTTGTGTGTTCTATACACACCAACCAAGAAGGCATATAAATCGAGAAAGAAGAGAAAGTAGAGGAGATGATTACGCCCACAGACTCCTGCAACGTGAACGAATATGTGAAGAGAAGACTAATTAAGGGAATATGCAAAGAGAATCTAGAGAACCATGGAGATTAATATGTAAGCCCAAATTAGTGTCGAAGGGAGTACGAACCCATATCTCATACACTACAAATCTAGTGCAAGAATCTTTTCTGAAGCAAGAGCACATTTGGACAAAAGTCAACTTGAAGTCCTCCTTTTATAGAGAAACACTTCTACAGTGACAAGTTCGAGATTTTTTTGCATCGAACTGAAGATTCTTGAAGGTATGGGACGAGAGGAAGAGGGATCTACATGTTGCTGCCGCTCTACTGGCAGAGGTTCACTGTCGATCGGTGATCTTGGACTTTGAGCTCCTTCCTCGGGTTCCTGCGGCGCCAGAAGTAGTAGGGGATCAGTGGGAATGGCACCTTGGCCGCCCGGGATCACCTGTTCCGGCGCGAGCTCCGTGTTCTTCTCCGTTCATGTGAACCGCAGAAGCACTAGCTTTGGTATCTCCGGCGGCTTCACCGCCACCCTCAACTTCTGCTCACCTCAATTCCTGACAAAATTCCGTCAAGCGAACTCGAACGATATCAAAAAGTAGGGCGGGGAAGTGAGGGTTGAGATGGCGTACTACCTGTTTCCGTTCGGTTTGTTCTCGTGGGCCGGAAGCCGATGAAGTGAACTTGAGAGAAAGCAGCGACGGGAGAGGGGACGCTGCCATGGTGGGGAGTTCAGAAGATAACCTGGGCCAGTCAGAGAGGGTCACGCTGCACGCGCTGCTCTGCTTTCGTGCTCTCTCATCATGGGCCAACCGGAGGCCCGTTGAGAGTGAGGCCCAATTGTCGGTGGACCAACTCACTGGTGCACGCGGCTGCACTCGACGTGTGGCCGGCCGTCTCCGTCTGCCAATTTTTTTCGTGGACATGGAAATCTTGCAAGATTTCACCCCGGTGGTTTTGTGAGGGAGAGAGCGAGGGAGGCGAGAGAGAGGAGGGAGTGGGAGAGAGGGCGTCGAGTTGAGATCGGCGATGGAGACGGCTATCTGCAGCAGAATTGCTCTCTCGCCCAACCACGTTGTGAACCCTAAGCCAGGTTCCTGTTCTTCTTCTTGTCCATTTACTGAGTTCTTTTCCTTCCAGGTACATATCTGGTTGGTTGTACGACGTAGGTATAGAGGTCGATCTATTGGATCCCTGTAATTGCTCCAAGAAACGCTCATTAGCTCTCATGTCATTTGGGGAAGTAAATGAAACACAAATCTGCATCAGGGGTGACACCTGCAGCAATACTTGGTGGGTAGTTGTAGAGGAATACCCCAACTGGTCAATAGGAAGTATCATGGAATCGGTGTGTGTAAAGGTCATGTAGATGTGATGTTGATCTTTGTAAAGGTCATTCTATTGCTTTCCTCTGTTGATCTTTGTGTACTACAAGAAGAGCTTAAGAGCCCTTAATTGAATTACTAAAATAGGATATAATGAGGTTTATTCAGTCGCTTTAGGTTCTATTTTGTTGGTATTCAGTCTTATTGTTAGTGCAGATGATGATATCGTGCAACCTTCTCGTTTGATAAATAGAAGTGCTGTATTGATGTTTCTGACATCAATCTGAAAGGAATAACAGGCAACTGTGAAGTATGTTTCGTTGGAGATTATTGCAGGATTACAGCCATTGGAGAGAGCCACGACTTAACTAATGACTTCTTAAATAGCCTATCATACATCATTAGTATTTAATATGTGATTTACCTTTTTATATTGAATTAGATCTCAAAATTGCATTCATATAACTATCTGTGAAATACCTACAGTGCCTTCTATATGTGGTGTAAGAGATGTATGGTCACATAACTGTTTTATGTAGCCATTCTGCTTTCTTTTCCATTTTAGTTATCAGTATTTGTTACCGCCATGTTTGTGCTTAGTACATTATACAGGTCATGATAGATCCATAATCATGGATCCTGCTATCAAGTTGCATAACATTTGTCTGATAGCATGCTTTCTTATGCATTTAGTCAGTTTCTTTATCCATTTTTATACGGCTTTTATGCCATTTCATGCTGCATCTCTTGGAAATCTGAAAATTTTGTACTATTAAAATACAACTCATTTCCACATTATGATTCATTGAGTGTTCTTAAAATGTTGATTTTTATCAGAGAATTTTCTCTGTCACATGCCTAGCATATGAAGTTGGAATCTTTGGGTTAGTTTATCTTTAGAAGATCATGCCAACTAAAACCTCCTGGAAAATGTTAAAATATGGTTGCAGATCATAACAAATTTAAAACTGAAATTTTTGCTTGATGTTTGTAGATCATAATAAATTTAAGGCAAAAAAAATTTGAGTTGACATAAACATATGCTATTCTAGATGTTTCCATATTACTATTTTGCCTGCTCATAATAAATTTAGGGCTAAAAAATTTCGAGTTGACATAAACATATGCTATTCTAGATGTTTCCATATTACTATTTTGCCTGCTGTTGATTGCTTGTATGTACAAATAATGTGTATGTATCTGATATCCAGGGGATAAGCTGTCTCAACACAGAGGACCTTGTGCAAATCGTGGCATTCTTATGGCAGTATCAGTAAGTGGACCTGGAAAAGGAGGTGGTTTGCTGGAAAGGCCAACCATAGAAAAGACAACACCTGGCCGTGAATCTGAGTTTGATTTGAAGTACGTGTTTTAAGATCGTCTAAATTTACAATTTTTAGTTATGATGGTATCACTCTATTTCCTATTGCTGCATGCATATCAATTTCACATTCGATATGATGCTTAGTGACTTTCCAGGTTACCATGAAAAATTTATTTGACCTAATATTTCTAAGGATGTAATGATTGGATTCACCAGGATTGTAAAGAATTAATTATGGGTTTGTGATACTGGACATATATGCATGGGAATACAAGTATTGAACAGAATATTAGAATTGCATTAATATAAGAAAGAAACTATACCCTGCCATGAAGGACTAGAAGATTCTGATAGAAATTAAGAAGGGACTAATTAATATCGGTATATGTTCCAGTTTTTCTAAATTATTTAGAAGATTTTGATAGAGACTAAGAAGCGACTAACTAAAATTTATATATGTTTCGGACTCCAAATTTTCCTCATCACAATTAGTGACCTTGTATTCAACTGTTCTCAGTAAACAATATTTCCAACCAAAACCATTTAAAATGCATGGTAATTGTTGTAAGTTTTAATCTTATCAATTATTTGTATTCTTTTGTAGCACTTATGACTATTGGTTTGCCTTTTATTACTTAGCTTCCTCTAATTTAGTCATTCACTTGTTACATACTTATTTTTCCGGACATAGTGATGGAGAACAAGGAAGTAGAGAGAAAGAGAGGGGAAGAGGGAGCAAGAGAAGCATGAGACCAAAAGACCCTAGGGAATTAGTATGCTTTTTAGAAATCCAAAATGTGACTTATAGGATACCTAAATAATACTGAGTGCAGTTAATACAAGAGTGCACTTAATACAAAACAAGTCCTTAGAAAGACCAAAATTTATTTGTTTTAAATTTTCAACACAAATCTTAGAATTTCTAGGCCAACTAATTGATAACTTTTTGTTGATTTTTTTTGCCTAGAATAAACTTTTCTGAAATCCTTTGTAAAGCAAGATGGTTCTTTATCATTCTCCCTCGATGGAAAAAACCTCGACTTCAAAGAGTAATTTGCAAGGTACTAGTCTAATAAGTTTGGTGCAAAGTCATGAAGTTCATCTAAAGTAATCCAAATGTAATCAAAAGCTGAATGATCACACCACTTGATAAGAAAGTGTTGAGTTATGGTAGTAGTAGTCGTAACAAGGCAGTCATCAAGAATGACCTCTACGTTATCCTTGTGTTGTCGGAGAATCAGTGCTTTGGGAGGCTTATTGCATGCAGGAACATTGGTCGATAGAGGAGGCTCAAAACTACCATGATATGGAGTTAAATCCTCTATTTTGAAAACTAGACTAATAATTAAGTCAAAAGGCAAATCGAACATATATGTATTAGATCCTAGTCTTTGGATAATGGGGAAATGACCAATGGCTCAGGCATACAATTTTTTGAATGAGTTTTTAGGGAATCTCTCGGGGTGAATGCGAACCAAGACATAATTGCCAACTTGAAACTCGACTTTGTAACTTTCATTACTTAGGGCAATTTTACATCGAATCTCAACATGCAAATCATGAATATGTTGAGCGAAGGAGTGGGTTGGTTCTGAGGCACGATAGTCAAGGGGAACGGGTGCAAGGTCAATGGGGGTGCGAGGAGTATAGTCAATGATAGTTTGAAATGAGCTTTTTCTGGTGGAGCGGTTGACTGAGTTATTATATGCAAATTATGCAGTGAGTAAGGTTAAGTCCTACTTTTTGTGTTTCTCCCCAACTAAACATTTAACAAGATTTCCCAAGGAATGGTTAACCTTAGTTTGACCATCAATCTGGGGGTGAAAGGGTGAAGAGAACTTTAATGTTGTGCCAAACAGTTTCCACAAAGTTTTTCAAAAAGTAGCTAACAAATTTCATATCTTTATCGAACCATGGTTAAGGGTAAATCATGTAAGTTAACCACTTCTTGAAAGAACAATTTAGCAATGTATGCGTTGGTCTTGTTATATGGGATAAAATGGGTCATTTTTTAAAATCAATTAATAACAACCAGAATAGAGTCATGGCCATGTGTTGTTTTGGGAAGTCCAAGGACAAAATCTACACTCACATCTTACTATGGTGAATGCAGAATGGGTAATTGGGTGTATAGACTAGTATTGTGTTTGCGAGTTTTGGCAATTTGACAGGTGCAACACTGCGATACCACTCGAGCAACATCTCGCTATAAGGAAGGCTACTAAAATCTATCATCGACTAATGAAATGGTCTTGTCTCAGTCTAGGTGACATGCTAATCCACTCACGTGCATTTCCCAAACAAGGAAGTCTCGAAGGGAGGATCGGGGATCATACAATCTAATATATCGAAAAAGGTAACCATCCCTAAGAACGAAGTTTGTATGTTCACGATGTTTCATCTTGGACTTCTCGATATATGTGACTAAAGTCTAGATATTGGGTACTCTTCTTTTAATCGTTTGAATTTTATGACCTTGACACTCATGGTAGATAGGATTGTCGAAATTCTACTAAGGTTATCAATAATTTTGTTTTGAGTGCCAGAACAATGTTTAATTACAGAAGAGTTTTTGTTAAGAAATTCAACCCACTTGGCATGTCGAGCATTTAAGTACCTTAAGGCTTGGTGGTCAAACAATATGACAAACTATTGCGGCAGATGGTAATATCGTCAATACCTAAGATATTGCACAATCGGATAGATTTCTTTGTCGTAGGTAGAATAATGTTGTTTTGCATCATTGAGTTTCTCACTGAAAAAGGCGATAGGCTGACCTTCTTGACTGAGAATTCCTCCTATGGCTATATCAGAGGCATCATGAGTGACCTCAAAGGGTTTACTATAGATGGGGTGCCTAAGAACAAGAGCGATGGTAATTTTTGTTTTGATGTCAGCAAAGGCTTTGGTAACAGCCAAGGTCCAAGAAAACTCACTTTTCTTTAGGCAATCAATGATATGTGCCATGAAAGAACTAAACTAATGAATCTCCTATAGAAAGAGACTAATCTTTGGAAACTGTGAATGTCAAAAAGAGTTCTAAGCTCAGGCCATTCTAAAATGATGCTGATC